TTTCTCGCTCACTATGTGTTAACAGACCTCTCTGTATTGAATCGTATCTGTTATTAATCTCTGTCTCTTTTCCACAGCATGTCTTTTATCCTGTCTTCCTTCTCTCACCCCAACCGGTCGCAGCAGATGGCCGCCCCTCCCTTGGGAATGGTTTGGAAATGTTCGCCTGTGTGCTTTTATGCAATATTATTTATTTCTTTTCTTTTTCTTTCTTAAAAAAAAAACAAAACCTTAATCTGACAGTTAAGGGCAGCACTCAATCAGACAAACAATGCCTCATCTCAAGGCCTTTATTATTAAAAATCTAAAGTAAAGGACACTCCTCTGCAAATGCCCCCCAAAATTATCCAGATAAGCACAAAATATGGATTCTCATCATGCCTTCCACCCCTCTACGATCAGCAGTTTTTGCCTAGTCTTTCTGACAAATAGGACTGAATTAATACAGCTAACATAGAAATATAAAAAATAGTTAGTAAAATGTCACAAGCGTTACGTTTTTGAGGTATATATATGTATTTTTATGTGCATACAAATAAAGACTAATTTTACTCTTTTTTTTTAAAAAAAAAATTACCATTAGAAATTACTGTATTGATAGATAGACTTCATTGCCATCCAGTCTATACACTAAACAGTGCAGAAAAAAAATAACTATTTCCTGGCTCAAAATAGCGCAAAAAAGAAACAAAAAATATATAATATGTACAATATATAACACATATAAACATATGTAGTGTAGATAATTTTAATACTTTTATAAATATATAAAAACTGAAATATAAAGTAAAAGTGTGACAATAACTAAAAAAAATGCTTAGAAATATAATTATTGGACATTAGATTCCAGAGAGAGAGACACAGAGAGAGACAAAGAGAGGGAGCCTTGTTTCCGGTCCGGAACCAAAGAACTGTTTGAGTTTCCAGGTCGGACAATAGAAGACGCGGACTTTGGTTGATGTTTTCTTTTGCTGGATAACGATGGCTTTCCCAGAGTTTCAAGCGGAATACATATAGTGTTATAATAAACTATCTGTTCGAGATAGCGACCGCTCACTGTGTATGTACACATTTATTATAATTCTAGAAATAACTTCTAAAGTCGTTTGTGGTTCACGGACTTTTGCTAGTTAGTTAGCTAACCAGCGCTACGCGGGCTGAAAAGTTGGTGGCTGTAAAACATCGACACCAATAGTTACTGTTGACTTTCACAGCAACGTAGGTGCCTTGAACGAACGGACCAAGTCCACGGTCCGCTGTATGAGACTGCACTGCTTACACTGAGCCAAACGCTTTGCAGCTAACCTAGGAGCGCAGCTGTAGCGATCACAGTTGGCCAGAAATGCGTGTTCCCTGCGTTAGTCCTGCTCAACCTCCTTAGACCCGAACTCTTTCATGGCATGCATTTTTAATTTCTCTTTGCTATTTGGGCTGATTGTAAACAAAGAATGTTTTTTTTTTACCTGATGTAGTTTCTGAGAAAACTGATATCCACATATGAGGGCATTCGCTTTAAATTTCGATAGAACACTACGTCACATTTAAATAATGATGTGCAAAACTCTTTATTTGGTGTCTTTATTTTGGTGTCCTGAGTACAAAAACAACAGTTGTGCCTCTTTGAGCAGTATGGCTCATTTGAAATGCTGCTAACAGCTGCAGGAAGACGTATGTCTATGACAGTGTAAAAATATTGTAAAGGATTTCTGAACATCGCACGAAACACGAAACATTTGTCCAGAAATGCTACTTCAAACGTGTGAACATATTTACACCTAAATGTGTAAAATTTAGCATTGTGGCTAGACAGCCCAAAATGTGATGTCCACATATGTGGACGCCACGTCCTAGGAAGTTAAAGCAGTATCCTTTCAGATAATCAGAGGTGAGAGTCAAATATACAACGTGAGAAGTAAATACTACAAACAGTTCAACAATTTTCAAGATGAAAAGAAAAAGTCCAAAGTTTTGATGGTGCATCTTTAAACGAGTCAGTCCACCTCTGTTGAAATGACCGGTTGTAGCTATATTTGAGCATTAGATGGTTATAATGATATTTGGTTTCTGCAAATGGAAATAAAACTGAAATATAATTTACAAATAGTGCATTAACCAGTTTTGAACTTTTTTAATACCCCCTCCTTTTACACAGACTTAACAGTATTAGTATATAATATTGAGATATAGCAACATTAAGCTATAAATATGAAAGATATTTTAATACTAGGATAAAAATCCTTTGCAGAATCCATGGACTTTGTCCAGTGATGTGTTTCATCCCTTGAGATCCTCTCCTGGACCTTTGCTGCACCTGCCTTCAGATACAGCTTGTTGTCTTACAGACCTTTCGGTATAGCTGAGCTTTACAGGGCGTTTTGTATCTTTAAGAATTGTTCATTTGATAGCTATAATGCCTACATTGTTAATGCTATAGTTTTAATGAGTCCCTGGAATTACAGTCAGAAGGCTGCATTTTAACTACAGCAGCATTTCAACAAAAAAATAATCTTGAACGTCAGCAGGAACTTTTAAGTATTCTGCAAAAATTCAAGAGGGATCCAAATAAGCGTTCAAAAGTAGAGTTCAAATGAAGTACAATAAAGAAGGAATTGTAGTGTAAAAATGAGTTGTTGTTTAAAAGCTATTGTAAACAGTGGTGGAAGTGAGCTGCAATGAAAGTGGTTCATGGGACGCTTAGATCTTCTGCAGTGCCAAATATGTGCAGCACAGCGTTGCAAGTTTACAAAGTTATCCTTGGTTTAACTCGTGCCTGTAACCTGCTTCGTATTGTTCTCTACAGCTCGATGGCCTTTCTCGGTCCTCCCGTCCCATCTGCTCTTGCTTCATTTCTCTACTCGTCGCTTCCCTGTGGCTTTGCTGTAGGCCCCTCACGTCTCCACGAGGGCAGGCTGGGGCTTTGGTGGGTCGGACGCTCACTGGAGGCTGGATCCCTGCTGGGGAGAGACGGGGACATTGAGTGGGCCTCAGAGTATCACGCTGAGCCGGAAATTCACAGTGAAGACGGCAAACTCGCCACAAACTTTGAGACCAAAAGAGATCAGACCACGAGAACAGAGGAAGAACAGGTAATGCTCAGTGCTCGCAGTATGCAGACAGAGTGGGCTATAGCCACTATTAATATTGACTGTGCTTGATTTTGAAGGAGAAGTGTATATTTTTTATTTGGGCCTATTTTATGAATATTCCCAGATCTAAATATCTGCACTGGCTATCAATGAGCACACTTTCATGTCCTTATTTTTGTCCACTCAGTGCACTTTGTTGTTCTCTGTTTGCTTCAGCATGTAGTAGCAGCAGCTGGTGTGCAAAGCTAACATATAATGCAGGGAGATAATAGCAAATAGGCTGCTGTTTGGAGAGATTGTTCAAGTTGTTTGGAGTCTGATCTTGCTACTGTAAGGTATGATTGTTTGGAAAAAATCACAGACTGTATATAAAAGATGGACATAATGAAGTGACCCTACCCATTGTAGATTTCTGCACTCTGTACTTTGAAGCGTCAGCGTCTTAGCCACAGCCGTGTTGGTTTTTGTTTTGGATACAGTGACGGTGAGCATATTTGGATGAGAGGGGGAACTGCTCCGATATCAGTGAGCTGCATCTATAAGCTGTATGTGTGTGACTCACACATGTAGACACTGCTGTTTAGGGCTGGGCAAAAGACCAACCAAATGCTTGCTAAACTTAAACTACCACCTGTATTGTGTGTGAACTGCCCAGTTGAGTAACTTGAATGAGTGGAGGTGAGGCCTGTGGGGCAGCTACAGCTCT